CCCTCCACTAGCAGCAGCAGGCTGTCACAACTAGATGGGAGCAGCTTTTTCTGGAACAAACTGGTTTGAAGAAGTTGCCAATTTTGCAGCACCAGTAGTGGCTTAATGAGAAACAAGAGGAAAGCAGTAATTATTTTAAAAATTGATTCAGGTGTTATTGCACATGATAACGTCTCTCAAATTAAGTTTTCTAAGTGTTTGTTTTTAACTGGGAAACATGACCGGTGTAAATATAACCAGTTTACCCTCAACCCCACGCATTTTAATGAAAAGTCTTGCCAGAAGTAATCGTGTCTGTAGACGCAGTGAGAGGAGAGAAGATTCTGTAGGTCAGAATTGAAATGCCCTAATTTTCTGTATAGTTAAAAATCTTATAGCTGGCACTACCTCTAGTCTCTGATGTACCTTTTATTAATATTAACTAGCCTGTTTTTTTAAACATTTTAACTGCATGTGTGACTCATTGTTAGTATTTTTTTGTTCTGAAATCTGTATAGTTAGAATTTCAAACAAAACATCTGTAAAATCGAGAAAAATTGCTGTACAAAGCCCTAATTATTTATTCTGTAATGATTGTGTCATTACAGGTAAAATTGCTAGTTGCTTCCACGCACTCAATTTGATTAAGGGAGCTCTCTTTCAGAAAACTAGTGAGTTTTTTGACTGAATTGTACTGAAGAAAGAGAACTATCAAGTCCTCCTTTTTTAGTAAAGCACTTTTCATCTACGAACAAAAATACCCTCTTGGATCTACAAATGATGATCCAGTGGCTTTATTAAATTGGCTCTGAAACGTGTTCATTACACTGAAGACACAAATGAGGCAAAACTGGGGCAAACCAGAGCAGTCTCCTCCTATTGTCTTGGGATGCTTCAGTAGTCTGGAATGTACTCCCAGGAAACTGGGAGCCGAGTTGGAAATAAAACCGTATATGCCATAAGTCTGTTGTGCTGAATGGCTTGAGGATGCCCTTTCTTTGGATGCAGCATATAACTTGTGAAGACCAAGAATGGGCTGTGATTTTCCCTACCTGCCTAAAATGCAGGCTAGCATTCCTTGAACTAGGCACACACTTTGGGAACCTGTAGGCAGTGGGAGCTGCTATGGTGGAACCTCCCATCCTGGCACAGCCCCATATAATCCACATCGCAGTACCTAATCTGGCTCATCTCATGGCAGCGTAGTTCTTTGTGTAGCCACGGGGCAGAAATGAACAGGCAAGGGAGCCAGCACTGTTACTCTGTTAGCAGTGTGGTGTCCTGCCCTGGTTCGAGCTAAGTGTGAATGTAAGATTCCACAGCTTCTTGGGTTTTGTATGAATAGATACCTTTAAGAAGGGTGAAGGTCTTCCCTTCTACTCCTCCTACTCAAGAGCCACATGCCATACAGCTGCATAAGTGACTCTCCTGGTGTTAAGATCTGATTATTGAGAGATGCCTCTGTCCAAATTAAGGTGCAAAAAAGACCATATGCCAAAGTCAATAATATGTATTTTATTTAACATGGAATATGAGATATAGAGGTAGAAAGAAATGGGGGGGGGGTGGAGGGAAGAGAAAGAGAGATCAAGCAGAAGATAGCTACCACCTGTGGATCCAGTGGTGTCCTGTTGATCCTTCTTTTCCCTGGGCTTCTTGGTGGTGGGGGTTCCAAGGTTGTTCAAAAATTGTCACTATTTTTACATTTCAGCAAACAAGGAATCAATGGTCACTGGTTACACAGTTCTCTTATTCTGGAGGTTGAATGATTCCCTCACTTCTCATGCTAATCAGCCCGCATTCTTAGTCTTTTAAATTGGTGGGTTTCCTGGGTCAGCTGGCCATGAGTGAGTGGTTGCAATCTTCCCCTGACAGAATTACCTTTTACCCAGTTGGAGCTGATTTCAGCACAGGTGCCTTTCCTTGTGGCCCAATTCTACATCCTTTGTGCCCATTACCAGGGATACATTCTTCTCCCCCTAGGTCTGAGATAACACCTGGACAATAGTACCACCTTTATCTTTTCTCGAGTTCCCGAGGTATTACAGTCCAAGTTCCAGGTGTCCATGGAGGCATATTCAGGAAGGGGGCTTCCATGGGTGTAGGTAGTCACAGATGCCATCTGTCCCATAACCTGGGGTGATCTTTGTTTGTCCGGTGACGTGTAAGAGCAGTTGCTTCTTTACACAGTTTGCCATACTGGGTATTTTTGTCTGGATATGTTAACCAGGATCTCGCCTCCAGCAGGCCTGGACTTAGTGCCATCCCGTTGCTCCATTCTGTGCTTACCTCATGGCAAAGTCCTTCTGTGGCCTTGACAGTGCTCTTTAACTCCCTAACCTGGCACAAAGGAGCAGATGCAAATGTGGGGTCTGATCACTTACTGTTCTCTCAGTTATCATGATGGTGATTATGAAACTCCTTCTAAGTTAAGTAATATGTTTTCACCGTCACATTGGAGCCCGCTGGAAATGCTTGCTCCATTAAAAAGAAAGAAGAATCTTACAGAAGTACTTTGACAAAAATAAACCCTGACACTTGAGATCTTTCACTTAAATCCACCATCCTCAGGTTGACTAAACCTGGTTTAAAACTGATGTGTGTAGCAATCTCCAATCCAGGATTGTAATAAAAGCAAACTTTCCCTCACACAGTGGCAGAAGAAAACACTGGCTTAAGGCTACACAACATAAGGAATTCCAGAAAAAGATTCATGAGGATTTTGAGAGTTGTAGACAGTTTTCCTTTTTTCCTTCTCGCATCTCAGTCTAGAAATTGTAAGTGATCTCTTGAACAGATAGTTGGCAATATTCTGTTGGTGATAATACAGATGAAACATTTGTTTTATGTTAATACATTTCCTAATTTCTCTCCTTCCTTGCCCTCCCTGTTTTCAATTCAGCTGATTTATAGACTCTTCTTAATGCTGCTGATCAGTTTTAGTGGTTCCATGTTTAATCTTCAGTGGTGGTGGTGTTCTCGTCCCGTGCCTTGTGCTGCTTCTCATGTTGCTTCAGCATAGGCAATAGTGCATTTGGTCAGTGAAGCAGAACAGGGGATGAAGGTGAAGCTTGGGAGAGCAGGAAAAAATGCTTCCATGTCTGAATGGGTTTGCAGGTCTCATACCCATCTCCCCAACACATGCAAAGACCGACTCAGTCACCTGTGTTGACCCACAGCACTGTGCTTTGTCAGAATCAAGAAAGAGCAGTGAGGGAACAGGAAGAGGGTGGTTTGTAATTGGGACTGTTGAAAAATGTAAAAAATAGTCTTTTTTGGCAAATGAGTAGCTTGAGTATTAGGAGGTTTATTTATTGACCCTTGACTGTGGTAAATTGATTTGCTTAATAAAAGGAGAAGTTCAGTACTTGGAGTTCTGTTAACTACCTGACATACCAGAATTGGATTTCTTAGTGGTCCTTCCTGATGATGGTATAAAAAATGTTACAGAAGTTGTAGCCAAAATATAGAATTTTTATATCAAAGGAAGCTGCACAAATATGTTTTGATATGCAGATTGATAAAATGGCAGTTACAGTAAAGCCAGGCCTAACATCATAGGTGTTCAGATGAAAGTGAAATGCCTTGATAACAGGTGGAAAACTGCTTGCTGAATTTCCAGAGTGAAGAATTTCTCTAGTAAAACTGCTGGACTTTTATTAGAGCACTGCTTTGTAGTGGGTTGCCAGTTAAATCTCAAGTATCTGTTGGAAGAATGTTATGAAGAAGTTACCTAAATCTTGTATGAAGCACTCACAGTAAGGAATTAAGTTCTTCTGCAGGAAGTGAAATATCGATTCTATAGTTCTATATTTTATTGTAAAAGTGAAACAGGAACAGATTTAAGCTCATTCTGATTTGGTTAAATATGCAAGTGGTGACATATATACTGGTGTAAAATTCATTGGGTTAAATGGTGCCTGGGATTATCTTTAAGGCCCTGAATCCATGTCTCCTCTCAAATGGCAGCTGTAGGTCTAGAATCTCATTGTAGACTTGCATGACTATTCTACTGTAGGCTTTTTACATGATGACTTCCATGTTCTAAGTGATTATTTCAACCTAACTTCATTTTAATTCCTTTCTTTTTTTGGATGTAATGACTGTGGTAATTTTCTTGCAGCAAGATGTTAATGCCTAGCATCATAGAGATTTTTCTTGGATGATAAAAACAAGCCTCACTGCTAAGTAGACACTCATTTTCTTCAGCCAGGAAAGGTGTCTCTTTAAATTGTTTACATACAGCTTTTCCATTTCAGCCAAGTCTACTCACAGCTGAACCCCAAATTTTGAACTAGACTTTGTCCTTTTCATACTCTTGAGAAAACGAATGTTTGAATGCTTTGTGTTCCTGCTTCTCAGCTCTTTCTTCAACCTGGAGCCCAGTATGTAATTGTCTTAGAATTGTACCCCAGTGTGTCTTTCACAGGAGAGGAGGGAGAGGACCTTGATTGTTTATTCCTTTGTCTTTCTTGCTGGCTTTCCCTTTCTTAATGTGAAAGTAGTCACAATATTAATACAAGTCTGCTCTTCCTCTCTACAATTTGCCTTGTTAATTTTGAATGTATTACATTTCTGTGTCTCATATGACATGGTTGAAGGTCAATCATGTCACCCTGCTGGCATGTATGTGTGTGTATGTAATACCGCTCAGTGTCACTAATTATTATTCCTCACTAATAGGTGTTTACTTTAATCCATTCTATAACAACAAATTGTCAATGGGACTACATTCTCTTCAGAGTAAAGAAATTAATTTTTTATAAGATTAAGGCAAATTCTTTATGGGATTGAAACAAAACAGTGTTTGACCTTGGCTGAGAGAATATGTCATTGGGGAAAAACATGTAAAGGTTTCTTCAGTGATTAATGAGAATTAACTTCTTTTTGCCCATACCTTATTGACAGGAAAGTATTAAAACATCCTCTCAGAAGTATTTATCCTTGTAAGCTGTCTTTGTAGTTGTTTAATATATCTTAGTTTGTGCAAGCATAATGAGATTTTTTTTTTTCCCCCCTAGTCGGTGTTATCCGCTGTCCAATTTGTGGTCAGGAATGCGCAGAGAGACACATCATAGATAACTTTTTTGTGAAGGATACCACAGAGGTTCCCAGTAGCACAGTAGAGAAATCAAATCAGGTAAGTGCATTAACATGTAATCAAGTTAACACCTTTTGCATGGGTATGCATATCCTTGGCTTCTTGCTGTGTGGCCTTTCTGCCGTTCATATGCAGATAGAGCTCCAAGTACTTAGACATCACATGGGGTAACTACTCTAGAAAATCAGTTAAATCTGTGAAAATGCATGTGAAGAAGGTGGTTATCTTACTGTAAACTATTTCAATTGTTGATAGAAAATTTCATCATGTTAGCAAAAGATAAAAATAAGGACTGAGCACTAGAAATAGGAATTTCTATGCTTTGGACAGGGTACGTGAGGCACACTTTTAAGCAGAGACTCGAACAACACTGCATCAGGAGATCTCAGTATAAAATGGAATTCTCTATTGACATCAACTTTATTTTCCTTATGTCAGTACTGACAAAACAGCACTAAATAGCTGGAGTCAAGATGCCGAAGAAAAGGCTTAAAATTGTAATTGGGGAAGATGGTATGTTGTAGGGATTTCTTGTTTGGTTTTATTTATGTAGACTAGCTTTTCATTTTGCAGTCGAGTTATAGCTGTCTCTTAAAAACTGCTTGTCTGGAATAATAGTAATGTCGGTGTGATTTTTTTCTCATTATGATTTTCAGGAGGCAAGTACCAGTGTGGAAGCTGTACCAAATGAATAATCATGTCTATGTAGAACCACAGTTTAGCAATCTCTGTTATCAAAATATTGTATGTCTTCATTTTTAGCTAGTAAGAGAGTATCTCATGTATCTCTTTACTCAAAAACTTTTTAATAAAGTCCAGGAAGTTATTGTAAATAATTCAGCCTCTTTATATGTTGCTACATGCTTTGTAATAATAGTACAAAAGGGTTGCTATGTCAGCGTGGCTTGAATTTTAACTCATCCCTTAATATTGGGGTGGTAGTCTCCTTTTATTTTGAAAATGCCTCTTTTTTCCTCTTCCTGTTTTAGGGATACATGTTACTGGCTCTTGATTTGTTTGTTTGGAGTGCAGTGTCTTAGAGGTCCTTTACTGTGAATTCTGGTTGTTTCAAAGATCAGCTGAAATTTGTGCTCCTGTACATGAATGGGCACGTCCCTTGGGAACAGATGAAATTCCCCAGTCAGGTTTGTGATACCGGCTCACTGACTGCTGAAGGCATTAGTGTTGTCATTATCTCTGAGGAGCAGAACTTATGTCTGGAAAATGTTAAACTGTTTTCAGCTTATAAGATATTTTGAAACTAGATTTCTGAGAAATGATAGACCTTACCAGAAACTGAAATTGAGTTGTGAGTCTCTGGAAGTACAAACAGTGTTCTTGCAATGTAGGACTGTTTGACCTTTGCTTTTTTTGTGTTTGGGAAGGGGGAGGTGTTGGTTTGTTTTTTTTATTGTTTTGTTTTCCCATGGGTAGTGCAGGAAAATATCTGAGTTTTGCAGATGTTTGTGGGATTTACACAGTCTAGCAATACTGTGCCAGTAAGATTGACAAAATGCATAGTCCCTGTTAAAAATTTGATAAATTTTATAGTGACTTTAAAATTAGAATGAGAAGCAAAATAACAAATAACTTTGTTATGCAGAAACAGTCCTGAATTATTTTGGGGGACTGGGGCTGTACCGTATCCTCTGCTTAGTTATACAACAAGTCCTCTAAGATACCACTTCGTGGAGAGGTGATAGGAATGGATTTTTTCTTTTTCCTCAGGGGTGGTGACATATTTTGATGTCTCTGCTCCCCCCTCACCGTTCCCCTTTCCCCTCTCAGTTTTTCTTTCCTTTCTGTGAAAGTTAAGTGGGGAATTCCATCCATTGAGTGGTGTGAGCAGATGTCAGGGAGGTTCTTGAAAGCCTTTATGTTTCCTTAGGATCCCTTCTCAAACTTTAGTCTTACTCTTCTGTTCCATATTTGTTTCTCCCTCTCCCTAACACAAACCAGCAGTCTCACATTTAGAAAGCAAGTCTGTTCTTCAGCTAGGTTCCCTGGCTGAACTCACCACATTTTCTGCAGCCGTTGAAGACAAACCAGCAGACTTTGCTGAACCTTTGCAGAATAGGACATTAATGTGCTTTTCTGCTGACTTTTTTATAAAAGAATTGGAGCTAGATGTTTGGTTATATGCCTGCTAAGTGAGCACGTACCTTACCTCTTGGAAATGAATTATGTGCTGTTCTCTTTGAATAGATTTATTTTGGTATGATAATGACAGGTTTTGTACATTCCTTTGTACGTTGATGTAAAAAGGTTCTGAAAACCTCTCTGTTTAGTAACAGCAAAGTTAAATCAATAATAGTTAAACAAATTAGTGTCCTGTTCAAGGGGGAATATTATGAGGTTTAAGAATGATACAACCTTCTAATCAGCCTGTCTTGTTTTACCTTTGAAGGAGCAAAGAGAAAAAGTAAATTTGCCATTAGCAAGACAGGCAACAGAGCAGAGGAATTAAAGTGGAAAAGATACTGACACTTGCAGGATATACTGGATCAGAGATTCTGTCAAAAACTTTGACTATTTTATAGAATTTTTCTTCTGAGATGGTTAATTTATCTTTGATAATTTGGCAACTTTATCAGGATGCTTAAGAAATTAGAACTAGAGGCAGGCCGTGGGTTCTGTGCAAATAGTGTAGCTTGGAACCATTGGTCTGTATCTATGACTAGCCTCTATATGTGTATTGTCAGGAAGGACTAGTTTGTTTTTATTCAAGAGAAACTGCAAAAGATCTCTTTCAAATAAAATGTTTGGTTGTTTCAGATATAAAATGGTACAAAAACTAAAATAATTTTCAGCATATTGAATTAAAACTGTAGGAGTGAATGTCATATCATGGAGCCTGGCATTAAGGGATGAGAGAAATAACTGGAACCCATTAAAATGCTATCTTTTTATCTAAAATAATGTTTATCTTAACCTGATTTGGGCAGTTCAGTACCCTACTTAAATGGCTGTGCTTTATAGCAATTAGTACTGAAAGCTTCAGAAGAAAAAGAAGTGAGCATAAAGGAAGTGTAAAACTCCCCATTAGGTATTCCACAAGGGCTTTCCTGGCTAACACTAAAGATTCTGTGCTGTCTATTAGCATGGGAAGCTTTCCAGGAGGAAAGAAACAAACAGGCAATGCAGTTATGATACTCCTGAAAGTAATCATTGTAGGTTGTGGACAACTAGGACATAAATACTTCAAAGGAGCAGATGCTTTATAATTTTTTTCACATTGTGATTTCTTGAAAGACTTGGCAAAATTATCAGCTTCTAGAGAGAAGTTTGAAAATAAAAATTAATTCTACTTCATTTCTAAGAATGAGCGGAAAGGAGCTGACCCGAGAGATGGTACTGAAGCAAGTGCTGGATTGCAGTAAGACTAAAGGGTAGACAAGTGAGGGAAATTTAGGAACTTTAGAGAAATTCAGGAACTTTAACTGAAGCAAATTGTTTAATATGTGGAAAACCATGAAAGTAGAAATGAAGTGTGAGATTGATGTAGCAGAGATCACAGCGATAACATGAGTGTTGGTGCAGCATCCTGAGATTCTAGGGCTTTTTAGTCTAGGTCCTAATTCTCGTTACTGCTGTGTCCAAAAGAGAACATACATAAAAATATTCTTTATTTTTACTTTCTGTATCTTTACCAGTTACTGACCAGAGAGTTTTAAATACTGTAGTAGGAATGAAGAACAGCTGGGCTTTATGTGAGATATTGGGAATGTAGTAACAAAGCAAGGTGCGAGCTCAGACCTGATACTGGATCCGAATACTAGCACAGCAAGTCTGACTGGCATAATGAGGAGATTAACGAGGACAATTTAGAGGAATGTTTTTCTAGATTTGTATGGTGTCAGATGAGCCACTATGTGTTTTTCCAAACAAGAACTATATGCTTAAACAGCTTATAAAAGGTGTACCTGTGCCTAAAATATCTTTGAAAGCCAGTGGTTTAGGGCAGTGGTTCATTGACTCAGGGGGTCACAATGTGGTGTTGTGTGCTTTGGAAAGATGTGGCTGTTGATTGGATGGTGGGATAAGAAGGCACATGTTGACTCATTTTGGGATATCAACACATGGTTCATATTTAGAGTTACATATAGGCAGGAATGCCCCAAAAGACAGCCGCTGTCTTTGGTGAATTTGTATGTACCAAGAGATAGTTGTATAACTTTTAGCATGGATGGTTTTTGGATCCAGTAGAGGAAAGCATTGCATCTAATTTACACTGGTGAAGTTTGGAGCATTAGTTCACTGAATATTCATCTGGACTACTTTGCTCTCTTCCTTTAAAACCTTTGCTTGATTATTTAATCTCTTTAACACTCAAAGTATATTTAATTGGAAGACTGGTTAGTTACTACAATAGCTGAGAAGACAGGTCTATTACCTACACTCTTTCATGTAAATCTGAGGTTTTTTCTGTTGCAAAAGCTGGTATATTTACTTAAAATACTACTTATCTGCAACATGCTGAGTAATTTCTACTTTCATTAAATTCAACTGAAGGCTGAAAGAACACTTCCCGGGGTTATAAATACTAGAACTAGTAACTGAATTAAATTTAATTACAAGGAAAACTCAATTAAAAATGAATACCTGTCTAACTAGAATAAAGGCTTACAGATTAACTAGAGAGAGTTTTCTTTGAAATCACTGAAACGCTGCTTGTATGAGTCACAAAAATAAGAATGAAATAAGTTTTAGGTTTTGTAAGAGCATAACAAATATTTGCAGTAATTGTACTTCTGTGTACTTTAGCTGTAGAACTTATTCTAATAACTAGGAATTTTAACAAAATCCAACCTATGTCTGAAAATGCGTATTTCAAATCAGAAGTGTATAGAAGTAAATCTAGTTTCTACCTAGAAGGCATAGCTGTTTTGACAGCTTATGTTATGATGTCTATGAAAAGCTTTAGAAATTTATTTCACATCCATTTGGTGGCTTTGAAGGGTATAAAGTTGGAATATATATTTTTGGGCCTACAAAGGAGGAGTTTTGATTCATTTGGCAGCAGCTGATTATTGGTTATTGAATCACAATCTTCATCTCATTCTACATTTAGCAGGTCAAACCAGTTGAAACAGAACAATAAAGCCTATTGAAAAAGAAAAATAGACAAAAGTCTTGGAATCTTGGAGGAATGAATACCTTAAAAACTCTTTGAATTTATTTAAATGCCCTGGCATGTAGCAAGTTCATCTGCCTAATTTTGCCAAAGGTGACCTGTAAAGGCCTGTGGGGGCTTGGTTTGTTTTATTGTTTGTTTTTTAATTGGGTTCCTGCCTTATTTTTCCTTTTTTGTTTGTTTGGGTTTTTTTTGTTTTGTTTTGTTTTGTTTTGCTTCTTTGACTTAAAGAATGCCTGAAAGACATTTTTTTTTTCTGTGCTTATTTTATTTTCACTGTTGTTTACACTAGAAAACCAAATATCCAGTCTGTTATTCTCCTCTGTGACTTACACTTCTGGTTATCTGGGGACATAGCACAATCATACCTCTCTGGCAAAAAGACTGATTTGAAAACTTTCTCATCCTGCCCAGTCAGTTCACTGCCCAGTCAGCAGTGCTGATGTAACTGAGCCCTGGGCTCTAGTGATGTAATAAATCTGGTTTTATGCCACAGTCTTGCAGAGAGTTGCATTGGCACACCTAAGACAAAAGGAGGGAATTTCTTTTATGAGAGTTTCTGCCAGACAGAAGGTAATGCTGAAGTAATGCCTCAGTGATACTTGCTGTTCTAAGGGCTTTTTCCCAAGAAGATGTGCTGAGTCAAGAATACTTTTCTTTCTTTTTTTTTTTTTTCTTCCCCAAAATGTCATTGAATTGAAGGGTTAATAGCAAGTATTGTGGTTTAACCTCAGCTGGCAACCAAGTACCTTGCAGCCTCTCACTTCCCCCTCTTTGCTTTATTTTCTGCCTCCCACCTTCAGTGGAATGGTTAGAAGAATTGGGGGTGGGAGGAGTTAAAACTGTGGGTTGAGCTAAGAACAATTTAATAATTGAAATAAAGTAATATTAAATAATTATAATAATAGTAGTAGTAGTAATGGAAGGCGGGAGGAGAGAGAGAGAGAGGCGGGGGGAGAGAGAGAGAGGAATAAAACCCAAGACAGACAAGTGATGCTCCGTAAAATTCTTCACCACCCACCGACTGATGCCCAGCCCAGTCCCTCCCAGCCAACTCCCCATAGGTTATATATGGAGCATGATGTCCTGTGGTATGGAATATCCCTTTGGCAAGTTCAGGTCAGCCATACTGGCTGTGCTCCCTCTTTGTGCATGTCCTGACTGGCAGAGCCTGGGAAGCTGAAAAGTTCTTGACTTTGGATAAGCGCTACTTAACACACTGATGTTCTAGTGGTTGCTATCAATATTATTCTCGTAATAAATCCAAAAACACAGCACTGTGCCAGCTGCTAAGAAAAATCAAAAAACAGCAAACTCTATTCCAGCTGAAATCAGGACAGCAAGTAAAAGTTTTCAATTTCCTGATTACAATTCACTCCCTTTAATTGCTTTATTTCCATTTTCTAGGCCTTTTTTTATGATATCCTGACCTTGGTATTTCTACCTAGTCTAGTAGTCTGGATAGGACTAAGAATTTTATTGCTAAGAGAAGAGGGAGAAGAAAAAGAAAAATCAAGGAGAAGATTAAAAAGAAAATATTCTTTTGAAAAATAAAACTTCCAGGCATCATTTTTTTAAAGAAACAGAAAAAAGGGCACAAGCCCAATTTTTTCTCCTTTGCAGGTCACCTTTAATGAAAAGAAACTGCTTCAATCTCCAAGTGACAACAAGAGGGGTCAACAACCCTTGTGTTGTAACTTCATTTCTCAGAAGATAATTGCTTTGAGAGGCAACATGATCCAGAAGAATAAACACATCATTGGGAATCTGGAACTTCTATGTTCAAATTCCAGTTCTGTCAGTAACTTGCTATGTGGCTTAAGGCAAGTTTTGTGCTAATTTTCCTGTTTTTCTTGAAGGGGAAACTGGGACATAGTTCTACATACGTATTTTCTATCTGCATAGGATGTAAATATTTGCTTCCTCTTTGACTTAATCTATATTTACCTTGTGTGGGTGCAGAAGTTGTTTCGTTGGGGTTTTTTAATCAAATTGAAAACAAAACTAAAATCTAAAATTTTCTCCTTTCTGCACCTGCAAGCAGAATTCTGTCACTGTGACCTGTAGGATATCGCAGTCTTCAGATACCTTGGGACTTTGGTTTGCAGCAGTGCTCAGTGTTGACAGAAATGGTTGGTAGTTACTTAAGCGAGTATCTGCATAAGCACGTTTGCTATTTTTTGCTACCAAAACCCCCTTGAAGGTGGGACTACAGAGGCATTGTAAAGGAGGAGTAAACAATGAAATAATGTTATCAACATGTGGTGTTGTGTAGCATTCAAAATTTTCATTGTGTTGTTCATAGTGTGGTTCCATAGCAGTTTTTTCTTGTGGGTGTATTGACTCTGGGCAGAGAGGTTTTGGTCTGCTGTCATGTTTGTTTTCCTGAATTCATTTTTTTTCCCCTAGGTCTCTTGGGTACAAGTCCAAAGAGCCCCAGGAATTAACAGGCCACACTTTGAAAACTGTTAGGCATTGGTTGAAAATCTGTTCTAGGGTAGCTTTTCTGATAAACTTAACAGGAATACTGTCTTTAAGTGGTGATGCAGAGATTCTTGAGAGGAACCCTGCTGTGTGTGCTTTGTGAAACTCTGAGCAGGGGACCAGAAACTGAAATTAAAGCTGAGGGAGGCTTCTAAAGTCAGAACAGTGCTGATCATGTTCTGTCATTAGTAAATATTTCCCAACAGCATCTTGTGTACAGTAAACATTGCATGGCTTCTAAGGGTGCAGTGGCTGGCAGAAAGTAGTGGTTTGACTTTTATCATGTCAGGTCAAGATTTTAGAGTAACACTGACAAAATGACCTCTTTCTTTGAAAAGTCACATTCAGTTACTTTTACGCAGTTATTTATAGTGTTCCTGTACCTCGGGCAGTTTTCCATTCTAATTTCACTGTTTTCAGAAAACTGTAAAAGTGCACTGATGATGTATGAACAAGAGCTTGTATGTATATTCTAAACTTATTTTAACAGCTACTTTTTCTTCCTCTCATCAGGTCTGCACAAGCTGTGAAGACAATGCAGAAGCTCATGGTTTTTGTGTGGAATGTGTAGAATGGTTGTGCAAGACCTGCATCAGAGCTCACCAGAGGGTTAAATTTACAAAGGATCATACTGTGAGGCAGAAAGAGGAAGTATCTCCAGGTAACACACTTGATTTATAATTTCCCAAAGAATGTATGTCTGCCTTGGAAAACTGTACTGGACCACCACTTCTTTTTTAAAGTGATATACTTCAAAAATTGTATTCCTGAACCCTAGTAAATGCAAAAGAACAGATTCATTTTGATATAGCCCTTTGGTGCATATGAATTAGTGGAACCATTTTATTTTTCTGGCTGGTAGTGGATATGTTTTCGTAGTTTCCTGCCTTCCAGTCACTTATTTCAATTTTTGTTGCTAAAGGCTGCAATCATTTGAACAAATTATGGTGTTTCTTTGAATCTTCATCTAAGTGGATCTCTTAATTGACGCCACTAACAAAAGAGAAAACTTTATTTTAAGTATTAGATGCATTAGAACATAGCTACTGAATAGAAGACTTCACTAAGGCTGGGACTATGAAAGCTGTTTTTCTGTCATTTTTTTCCCGTCAGATAGGCTCTAAAGTTATAAGAAAACCCTACAGGTTGTTTTTTTCATAGGAATTTTCATTCATAGGAATTTTTTTTTTTACATGAATTTTATCTCTCACCTGGAGTGATTGCACATTATTGTCTAGACCTTGAGAGATCAGTTGCAGAAAATCTCCTTTAGGCATTTGGCTCCTCTACTTTATGTAGAGGTCTACCAGATGGTTTATATGAGCTTTACTGTTGTATTCTGCAGCAAAGGGAGCACTAATAGATTGTATTTTTTTCAACAGTCTAACTATAAGCATACCCAGTTAGCAGTGAAATGTGCCAGAATTCATGTTTTAGCTAAGTATCTTTTAAGTGTGACATGTTTTGCAATAGAACTGAAAGGGAAATATGCTATGACTTAGGGTATTTTTCCTCAGTAGAATCTAGGATAATTCAGGCTGGAAGGGACCTCAGGAGATATCTAGTCCAGCCTCCTGCTTAAAGCATTCATCTGAGAGCAGTTCAAGTTGCTCTGGGCTTTATCTGTTCAGGCCTTGGGAGCCAACAGTGGTGAATGTGGCGTACAGTACAGCCTCCCTGAGAAATCTTGGCTGTTCTGTAGTAGAAAAAGTTGTACCTCTATTCATTGAGAACCTCTTTTGTGTCCATTTTTTCTGATTGGTATTTGTCTTTTAGTGACATTGTAGGACAATAATAAACATAATAGGACATAACGAACAAACATTTTACCCTTTCTAATGCATCCATTGGACTTGCATGATTTTTCTTGTAAATATACGAATTTTTATATGATTTAATAAATTACTCTATATTATTTTAAATATATGCATTATAATAGAGATGTATTGTCATTCCACCCTATCTGGATAGGGTGAATTTTATGTATAATGTGGGATTTAACTTCTGCAATCTGTTGCTCAGAAGGTATCTTCCACCATGATACTTAGAAGATATACACTGTGTTCTGTATCTCGCTTTCACATGGGGTTAGTCAGAAGTGAGTACTGAGTGTAGTGACAAAAGTAGTGGGTAAAAGTGGCTGATGGACTGTTAGGCAGAACATGACATGGTGGTAGGAATGGTCTCAGTTCATTCAGGCCTCCTTGAAGGATACAGTTCTGAAAATAACTTCCTCCAGATTTCTTGAAAATAAGTAGATGAATAAGTACGGGAAAGAGATCTTATTGATCTACAGTGAAGGATGGGCTGCAGTGTGAAGCCAGTTTTCATTACAGGCCATATAATCCTCACAAACTCGGGTGTCCAACCTAACTCTTTGGAAATTCGGCTATGTCGATTAAATTGTTTTAAAGAACAGATTTAACTTCTATGATCTGATGGTGTTACCTATGCTCTTTAATATTTACTCAGTAGAAACTGAAGAGAGATCCCTCACCCATTTAGAAGGGGGTCTTGAAAGGAAGTTAGCAACTCCTGCCTATTGCATTCTGGTTTTTTTATACTTCTGAATGCCTGTGTCTTGATATCCTCAACCCTCCTTTCACCAATTCAACTGAGAAAGAAGACAGAGCATGAATTAAGTCAGCCATCTCCTCATTTCCATTTAAGAAAGGAACTTGCTGGTTGTGCAGTGTTTTGCAGCTGCAGCAGTACTGGCTACTCCTTTTGTAAATAGTTTTGTGAGGCCATAACAGATTATGGTAATAGGTTCTAGACATTTTCCATGAGAGAGGGTGCTAGCTCCATGCTTGAGCAAGAGTGAGACATTGCAGTTTAAGCTTAAGGCTGTTATATTCTCCATTAGGTGGCCTGATACACATTTACAGCGTCTAGGGGAGGAATATAGTAAGAAAAACCAGGAGAATGCAAATCTTTAATAAGTTCAGGAGACTGACTAACATCTTCCTTTATTCAACAGAGGCAGTTGGTGTGACCAGTCAGCGACCAGTGTTTTGCCCTTACCACAAAAAGGAGCAGTTGAAGTTGTATTGTGAAACCTGTGACAAGTTGACCTGCCGAGACTGTCAGTTACTAGAGCACAAAGAGCACAGGTATCAAAGCAAAGCTTATGTTTTATACATCCCACTTATAGGAAGATAGCTTGAAGTAGATTGTAGTCCTAACTGTATGGAATACAGTCAGGTGAAAAAAGTGCAAAATGAAATTTTCTGCTTGGAAATGAAGCTCACAAATAAACAGAGATTGTATCCAAGAGAATGTGACTGATGAATGTGTGTTAGTTTAGAATAAAACCTAATTCCTCTAGTTGTTAATCCGGTGACTTTAATGCAAGACCTTTCTTTTACTGTCAAATTATTTAGATAGAATTTGTTGCTATGCAGCTCTTCAGAAAGCACAGGGACTGTGTTATGCAACTATACACTTCTGTGTAATTTCTCAATTTGTCCTTCAACAAGATGATTATATAACAGAACATTACCAAACAGTCTCAGAATGGAGCAACTGGGGATTTTTTTCTGTGAAGAGCTCTTCCAAAGGAAGAGTAAACCTACAGTTTGGCTAAACTGTACTTTGACCACACTATTTATAACACTCAAATCTTCGTGTTGCTGTTCTTTGGTCATCTCTTACGTGTCATAGAAGCTGAAATGCAGAATTGCAAACAACTTCTGAGTTCACGACAAAAATCTTGCTGGTTAAAACATACAGTAGTGGTCTGGGACAGATGCACTCTGGTTAAATAGTAGTATGCTCTCTATACCTGATGCAAACACCCAAAAAGCTTACTTGCCTGACCAGGTGAACATCAGTAGGTTGGCCACTGTTGCTCCTTGGAACAGGCTAAATGCTGCTCTTGCAGAGTTGCAGTCTTCCTCTTGAATTCTCCTTTTCTTAGGATTTACATCCCTTTTCTTTCTCAAATTGTTGATTATATCAGTTCCTTGATTTAAAATGTTTCAGTTCCTTAATTTAAAATCAGTTCCTTGATTTTAAAATGTTTATTTGAAATTAAAACTTCTGCCCACTCAGCAATTTCTCTTCTATTTCTGCATCCTTGTCTTGCACAAAGTAATAGCTTACATGTTTTCTCATATTCAAAGTGATGACTACATAAAAACATTAATTTTTCTTTTATTAAAATTAGGCCATGGTCACACAATATCCTTTTGTATTTATGAAAATCATAATCTCTCCCCCCAGTATTACAGGAAATAGACTATAGAATCAAATGTACTATAAATAAAATATGTCAGCATTTGCTGACATTTGCTTCCATGATGACAGTTAAATTTTGGACTTCAGCAGCAGCTTTCTTCAGGTAAAGATTTTGGAAGGCAATCTGTTTTTTAGCAAGTATATCACACCTTTTGCATATGTAAGTACTCAATGCTTTTTACTACAGGTACCAGTTTATAGAAGAAGCCTTTCAGAACCAGAAAGTGATCATTGAGACACTAATCACCAAATTGATGGAGAAGACTAAATACATAAAATATACAGGGAAACAGATCCAAAACAGGTATGTATCAGATTTCGAGGTTAAAAACTGACTGAAGGCAATTTACATTACAGGTAATTTCTTGAAATGTTTAAATTAGTGTATTTTGTACCTCTGTCCTTTTATTCTTCCAGAAAGAGAAATTCCAAAGTCTTCAGTTCGCTGTAGTGACTGGTTCAGTGTGCTTGGTTGTGTTAGGTAACTCCTCTGCTCAGCCTGTGAACTTAATGGGCAGCAGTTGCTTGGGTGCAACAAAACAACTTATGCAATAAGGACTGTAGAAGGCAATCTTAAATGCTTCCCCACCATCAGCACACTTACTTTCTTAGTGTAGATCCCTCTTAGAAAGTGAAAGGTTATGACTCATGCTTTCATAATGCTTGTAACACGTATTTGAAGATTTATGTAATACTTTTATGCTTGGGGCTTTATTCATTCTGTACTACAAACCTAGTGATGGCAGAGCAAAGCACAAAAGGAGTTACCGTGGCTTAGTTGGTAAAACACCTTGCCCTGCTGAGCCAGGAGAAGGTAATTGCCTAATGTTTGTTCTGCCTGCTTTGCTAGAAGAACACTGTCGGAGCACTGTTCTGTTCTGTTTACTGGACCAAACTTTCATTATAGAAAGAATGCTAGGATGTAGACCATAAGGTAATAAATCAGGTAAACTAGACGTTTAAAGTAGGTATCGGAGGCTCAGAGCCAGGATTTTGCAAGCTTGAGGAATGAGGGTCACCAACAAAGTTGAAAAGTTCAGCCCTGAGGAAGACAACTGTGGTGACCACCAGAGGGGATGAAGGCCCGCTGTCAACCACCACAGTGAAAGACTACACATGCACCAGAGAAGATTCTGGAAAGTCTCTGCCCAGAGACTAACTTACTTATTAATATGTATGTTATGGGACGTAACTGTGTACTTACAAGCATATCAGATAGCATAAGTTGCACTTTCAGGTTGAGCACGGTTTGTGTGATGCAAACCACCTTGCTCCCAATGTTGCAATAAACAAATACCTTTCTGCTTAAAGATGCGAAGTCTCTGAGCAGTTCTTTTATTCCGAGGTTTTTCGGCATCACTAGGAGAAAAACCTGTAAAATGCGATCTGCAGTGGGCCTTTGTGACTGCTGCTTCAGCAGAGTTCAGAGGCAGCAGCACCCACGGAGATTCAACACAGTACAGGATGCCGAGATGCAGCTTGAACTCTTCCTTCATCTTAGCAGTAGAGGTTTTCCCAGTATAAGATTCTGCTTTGCTGTTAGGAATTTGAGCACTACTGTTGAAATTGGACAGTCTACTGGTTTTGTTTGTAATGGAGTGCCATTCTGCATTAGATGGAAATTAGACTTGAGCAGTTTTGAGTGCCATGGACCATTCCAGAAATGTGCCAAACAGCGGAAAATCAAGAATTTCAACTACAATGAGCATTTAATTTTTATGAGTGACAGATGTCAGTAATTTTACAGACTTATGGCGTTAGAATTTGCCACCAGTTAATTAATTTTATCATAGGTCACTTACTTGCTCTTTCTGTTTCTCCCAGTAATATCAGGACTATAAGTATCTGATGATATATGGATTAATTGGGGCATATGACCAAGAAATATTGTAGTCTCAGCAACAGATTTTTTTTAATACTGTGTAGAGGGAGGGTTTGGGAGCTAAAGAACATTATTTTCTGTTCTGTCTACTTACAGAATTCTTGAAGTGAATCAGAATCAAAAGCAGGTGGAACAGGATATTAAAGTCGCCATATTTACACTGATGGTAGAAATAAATAAAAAGGGAAAAGCTCTGCTACATCAGTTGGAGGTAAGAAACATTTCTAAGAAACAGAAATGTCAGTTGTAATTTTTTTTCTATGTATTCACATTAAAGTAAAAAACATTTCTAGCACTAGTCCCCTGTGCATGTCCTGTCACAATTCCAAAATGGAGAGATGTTCTGTACAAGCAACTTGAGCAGGTGGGATTTTGGTGGACGAGAGTTTGGGTTTTGAGGAGCAGTTCCTGTTTTGTTTGTAATTATTATCTGTGTTCTCTGTGTTGGGAGTCAGGACTTTCTCTGAGCCCAGTTTCTTTCTCCATGCTTTTGCAATTCTGTGCATCATACATGAAAAGTGTTCCCATCAGAAATTTTCATAAAATCAGCAATCCAATAGCAAATCACAAGATAGAATTGTCTAGAATGAATACCTGGAAAATATTACCTGGAAAATATTATAACGTGTGTGTATATAAAGAGGCGCACACACACACAAAAACACATATATATATGAAATTTGTTGTAAGAGAAAATGGGAATTAGCACAGAAAGTCCTGATATCTTGAATAAATGTATACTGACTTTTCTGTTTGATAGCTGTATCAGGGGGCAGCTGAGAGAAGAGCTAAGTGAAACCACATTACCATTGTGAACTACAAATGCCTGTTAACTGTAAGTTGAACTCTTTGACTGGAACTGCTTTTCTACTTGCAGACTCTGGCAAAAGAGCATCAGATGAAACTTCTGCAGCAACAACAGGAAGTGGCGGGTCTCTCTAAACAGCTGGAACATGTCATGAATTTTTCCAAATGGGCAGTTTCCAGTGGGAGCAGCACAGCACTCTTGTACAGCAAACGCTTGGTAAGGTTAGGAAGATAGCTATCTCCGTTTAGTTAGAGACTTTAGTTTAGGCACAGATGCTTGTCAGTAGTGGTAGGGTATTAGAATTTTTAATAACTTTCTACTAATTGGAATATTTATATATAGTTTTTCATGGTTTTCTCTTAAACATAAACACAGAATATTTCTAATAATTTAGCTCTCTGATCATGATTTTCTCCTGTTAGACTGCCATAGAACTGTTGTTGTAGGTCTGCAGAAGTAGGAGCAACTCCTTTTCAGTGGGTTGAAAACTATGAAGCTGTGAAACACTGGGAAAAAAAGTTGTGTGTCCTACATCATCACTGCACTTCTTTTCAGTAATTGCTACAGCTTCTAAGTTATAAGTTTATAAGATGGTATATATCAGTGTCTGATATCTAGCATTTTATTGCAAAAATTACTGTATTTTTTATTCTGTCAGACTTGTCTCCCACTGAAAGTCTTCCAAAATGGATAAAAATAAAGCCGAGGCTTTTGTTTTCCCATGTAAACAGTTGAAAAGCTAAATATTTCAATGCTGTGACACTTGGGATCTCAGTACATGTGCTCTCGCTAAGCTGACTCCTCATAGTGAACAGAAATCCTAGAATATTTGAAATAAAAACCAAACCAAATGCTGACCATGATCTGTCCAAAGGTTACTAGATTGTACTAGCCTGTTAACAGAAACCTGCGACTACGTTGAGGAAAGATGCTAGATCTGTTTTTTACCAGTTCCCAGAACTGGCTCACAAAGTTTTTTTCTTTATTTTCTCATTTCTTAGTTGAGCACTTTCCAGGGGAATTTGTGAGATTTGTTTGGTTAGTTTTGGGGTTTTCAGTGGTTTATTCTTTTCTTTTCTTCTTTTTTTTTTTTTTTTTTTTGACATCCTTTGTTTATACTGCAGGCTATAGCAAATAGTGGAATATTACTTGGTTTTATCAATTCCAAGTAGTTCACTTGGAGAGACTCTGCTATGTGAGTAGGAGAACCAGTAGCGTTGCAGGCATCTTAATCATATAAACATTATGCAATTGAAGAAAAAAACCATCTAGCCCATAAAGCCTCACCAAGTGAGAAATATTTTTCAAAATAACAGACTGAGCTTTAGAAAGGTGGTGTCACTTGGGAGCTGAGTAGCTAACCTGTCTGTGGGCAACTGGAAAAATCTAATCCTGAACAGAGATGCGTAGAGGAGCATGTGAGAGTTCTGCTCTGGCGTGTATCTAACTGCTTCAGCCCAGGAGGGAGGAATGCCCTTAAGTGCAGTGTTACAACTCAGAGGCTGTATTTCAGGGAAACAGCACAGTAAACTTTTTGCAGGAAGACAGTTTCCCAGCCTAGTTCTCCAAAAACTAAGCACTGTTAGCTACCACTACTACTAACAGGAGGTAACTAGTCTAGTCACGAGTTTATCTACGGTTGTATGTGTGTACACAGTAATAGGAAAATAATGGATCAAACTATGACAAGAACTATGTGTGACCAGTATTGGTAATGGGACTAGAATTTCTATAGTGTAGTGTAGTTGATTCTGGTAGTGTTCACAGAAATCCTAAGAAATCTATATTCAAAACACTAGTAGTGCACTTAAAATTTTCCATGGTCAGTAATAAAACTTAAGTCTTGCTGATTTTGTTTATTTGGTCTTAAAATTGTCCTGCCTAAAATTGAAAAAAAAACTTGTAAACTGGAAGCTCTTATAAAATTCCACTGTAGAAAAACCCAATAGACTTGAAACAGTTAAGATGATTTTGCTAAGTATGTCTGTTGAAGTTTTCCAGGAAATAATCTATCATTCAAGAAACCAAGTGTTGACCTCCTGAAGTTTTTTTTTTCTGTATCTGGTGTGTGAATCTAAAATTAGTGCCTGTTATATTTCTGTATATCAGTGCCTGATATTTCCAGTGAAACAACTACAAGAAAACATTTTCTTTCTAGGAACTAGATAAATACTGAGCATTTGATAGAGTATTCTCTTGTGTAATCATAGTCCATTCCTTTGGAACAAAGGCATTGGGAGAATCTGAAAATACCTGTGAATCTGAGAGTTTTCAAAAACAGACTTTATAAAACTCTGTTCTTTGGCTATCTGAAGAAAACTTAAATCTAGTACAAAGGAAAATTCCCTGCCATGATACTTGTTCCTAAATGGATGGCGTACTTTTCTTTGAAAGAAAAATGAATGGGCTAGTATAGATTGGGGGGATGGTAACACAGCAATGGTTATGTGAATATGGATTTCACATGCAAGTAGTTAAAGTCATTAAATGTAATGACCAAGTTTGTGGGAGGATATGTATTTCTACAGGGAAGAACTTTTTTGGGTTTTGAGGCAGTAGTTGATTTGTTTTTAAAACTACATTAGAAATAAGGAAAAGAAGTTAAAAATATCTCTTTATATGTAGCTTGTACGTGTCTCTATCTTTAACCTCAGTTCTCTAGGGGCTTGTTCAGGGTTTTATTTTTGGCTGGTTTGTTTGTTTTGTATGTGTATGTGTGTGTGTGTGTGTGTTTGGGGTTTTTTGTGCTGTTCAATTACATGGCTCTGGCCTCAAAAGAAAAAAAAAGTCTTGTTTTTGTTCCTGTTTTAGATTACATATCGTCTACGGTATCTTCTCCGAGCAAGGTGTGATCCTTCACCAGTCACTAACAATACCATCCAGTTTCACTGTGATCCAAGCTTCTGGGCTCAAAATATTTTCAATCTAGGTAAGATAAATTTTTATTAGCCCTTTGGTGTCTTGATCCTATTTTGAAAGCAGCTTTCTTTTTGTGAAGATAGCCTCTGCATTATTTATTTCTTGATTTACTATGTTAAATTTATTTCCTTACCTGTAGGAAACATTTAAAGTGCATAGCATGGGAAAAATTATTATTTATGAATGCTTATGATAAAGTATTAACGAATTTACCTTACCTGAATGGTACATGTGATGGTGAAAATGGCAGCTTTCAGTTTTCTGGTCAATGCACATAACTTCTGGCTTCTGAGACAAGGAACACAGTCTATAACCCTACTTCACATCCTGAGAGAAGGGTTCTAGAATTCAGTCTCATTCTGCATCTTTCAGCCCTTTCTTCTAATTCAGTCCTGTCTTCCCAAGCTGAAACTGTAGCAGCAACATAATATAGAATCATAGAATATCTTAAGTTGGAAGGGATCCATAAGGATCATCGAATCCAACTTCTTGCTCCTCACAGGACTACCTGAAACTAAACCATATGACTAAAAGGATGATACAGAGGCTGCATGAACTCTGGCAGGCTTGGTTCCATGACTGCATCCCTGGGGAGCCTGTTCCAGTGACCACACCCTCAGTGAAGAACCTTTTCCTAATGTCCAGTGTTCATTTGCTTCCTTGTCATGCCAAGCAACAAACCTTGGAAGAATGGGATGAAGAGAAAGGGGAAAATGCCAAAGAAAAACAGAAGGACAGGGAAGAGAAAACTACTTTTTGACAGTTGTCTGGCTTCTATATGGTCTTTCCTGAACTTGTGGGGTGGAATTCAGAAAAAAGCATGTTCTTAACAGGGTTGCAAGAGTATTTAGTCTTTATTAACGTCATAGATTTTGAGCTAGTCTCTGAACAGGTCTTTACATTTTTTCTTACAGCTATAAATTGCTGCTAGGGTTTTATTATACTGGTGATTTCCAGAATCAGGAAGCTTTGCAATTAACCTGCTTGTGTGATAGCCTGAAAGCCTTAGTTTAATGAATCATAGAATTGTTAAGGTTTGGAAAAGACCTTTAAGATCATCAAGTCCAACTGTCAGCCTAGCACCACCAGCAAGTTCACAATTAATCCATGTCCTCAAGTCCATATCCACACATTTTGTGGAAATTTCCAGGGACGGTGACTCCACCACTTCCCTGGGCAGTCCATTTCAATGCTTGACAACCCTTTCCATGAAGAACTTTTTCCTAAGATCTAATCTAAACTACCCTGTTGCAACTTGGGACCATTTCCTCTTTTCCTGTCACTTGTTACCTGCAAGAAGAGACACATCCCCACCTCACTACAAGCTCCTTTCAGGCAGTTTTAGAGAGCAATAAGGTCTCCTCTGAGCTTCCTTTTCTCCAGGCTACACACCCCCAGCTCCCTCAGCTGCTCCTTATAAAGCTTGTGCTCCAGATCCTTCACCAGCTCTATTCTCTGAAAATGCTCCAGCTCCTTATGTTTTTCTTGTAGCGAGGGGCCCAGAACTGACCACAGGATTTGAGGTGTGGCCTCACCAGTGCTGAGTACAGGGGAACAGTCACTCCCTAGTCTTGCTGGCCCCTTTATTTCTCACACTGGTCAGGATGCCATTGGCCTTCTTGGCCACCTGGGCACACTGGTGGCTCATGTTCAGCTGCTGTTGACCAACACCCCCAGGTCCTTTTCCATGGGTCAGATTGTCAGCCAAGAAAATAAAGCACCTTAGGAACTCAACAGCTTAGAAGCAGGAATTAAAGATATTAGAGGTTTTTTAGGATTTTGATTGCTGTCATGGTTCCTTTCTCTCTCCACTGTTAGTTTGATGGGCATTTTTGTTTTTCTGTCATGTACAAAAGGCTTTATGAGATACCTGTGGGACCTTTTCTACCTTTCATCAGAAAGTGCTCTACTGATGTACAGAGGTGCAAATGTAATTTTCTCTACAAAGTCAGAGAAAGAAAGTGTTATGGCAGTACTTTAAGGCAAAACAGCTTCTTTTCCCAGACATGAGGATATTGGATGGCAGCATGGAAGTTCTCCCAAGTTCCTTCTTTATAAATAATTATTTTTGAGAAAGGAATTGAAAGTGAAACTTTTCCAGAAACAAACTTTCAAGATCTATGGTGATAACTATGAACTGCTGGTTCACTAAGGTGATGAATACAACCAGAACATGTTTATCTGTCTGGCTGCAGAAATCACAACCTTTAGGCCATTTTGTTTCTAATCAGACATTCAATTTCTGTAGATTTAAGAACCACCGAATGAAAAATAAAGCAAATCTGAGTAAAGAAGCAAGTTACTTTAGAAACTTTTGAATTCTGCTCAAGGCTGCATGTTGCTGACAGCATGATAACACCTGTACACTAATGGGATAGCTCTCTTATGAATTTCAGAATGTATGTAAGAAAAAAACCATCCAGCATTTAAAGCATTTCATTTCCACAAATTATATGGTAAGCCATGGTTTTCTGGAGTAATGGAAGGGAATCATTCTCTGTCGTACCTTTGAGTAAGTAGCTATACCACAGACATTAAATCAGGAAAGACTTTTGAGGTTGTAATTAGACTTGGAGAGAACAGAAGTGCAGTATGGTTTTGATAGTTGATTGTAGTACTGTCCATACCATTCTTTGTCAAGGTATATCTTTTTCTAGAGAAAGAAAATAAAACATCTGTTTTGATTGTAGTGAAATATTTCATACAGTCATATATGGTAAAAAGTGTTATTAATTTGCATTTTCCCCTGCTCACTTTAACGTTGACTAGACCTGTTACAGACTTAATAAAAGGTACTAGGCAATAGGTGGGGGTTTTCCACTGTGTTTACCGTATTTAATATTTTTGTTAAGGACTGATGTGGTACAATCATGATTAAAACATATGCAACCCCAAAATTGCCAGGTGTCAGTATGAAAGTAGTGTTATTGGTGTTGGCTTGCTGCGCTGTTCTGCACCACAGTGTGTTGGCTAGCCTCCCTCTCTGCCTATGGCTAGATGGGGAAGTAGAATGATGCTACAAGCACCGTTTCTCAGCTCTTGGGATGAAAAAGAGGAATATAAAATGCAAGAATTTTCCTCTCCCTTCAGATAATCTATCCCCGAGTCAGGCTAGACTGCACAGGATCCACAGATTAGGACTCATGGATAATAAGAAGAGGAATAGCAAAGACTCATTTCAAGTTGTTATGTAACAGGGATTTACCAACTGTCATGTGGTGCTCCTACCTCACGAGATAAAAACTCTCCTGGGAAGCAGCCATAAATGTCTGGGAGAGAAGAGAGTATGAGATATTTGTCTCCAACTTATGTTGAAAGGCAGTTGTGCAGCCTTCTGCAGGTCATTGGAATTTTTTAACTCTCGGTCTTGGACTATATTTTTACCTACTTCACTCTGTTTCAAAAAAGAAAGAGTCATTGTCTTTTCCTCTACAAGCAGCAGGCTATTTCCTTGAATCAGACAAACTGTTCGAGTTGGAATTCGTGTTTCTTGGATGAGGTAGCCAGAATTTTGCATGAGTTTCATGTAATCACTCTATATATATCTTCAAATAACATCTCTCACCCACCATTAATCTCTAAAAGTTACTTGTCTAGTCAAATTTCCTTCTAAGTCAGTAGAGACAGATAAAATATCTCCTGGAGGGTGCCCATCACATGCTAGAATTGGTGCTGCGTGCCACTTGAGAATGCCCTTGGAGTATTTGAGTATTTCAATATCCATGATGTTGACTCAGAAGCCAGAAAGGATCACAATATCTTTAGGTTTTATGATACAGTTAAATCTTTCTATCAGATGATTAGATCAGGATACCCTTTCCTATCGAAACTTTGTTTCCTTGCTCTTTTGGACAGGCCAGGACACCTTCCCAGGAGAAACCACTGTATAGAGGAGGCTGCAGCAGAAGACAGTTTGCTATGAAATGCAATGGTTTTTTTCAGAGGAGCAAACAAAATAAATGGAGTCCCTTATCTCATTCAATTTACATTACAATAATGAGTGGTGACCACATGTTATAAAAGGATCTAATTATGAAAAGTAGCATTTCTGCTAACTGACATACTTTATATTGATTTTATCTAATTATGAAAAGTAGCATTTCTGCTAACTGACATACTTTATATTTATTTTATTTATTTTGTTTAAAATAGGTTCTTTGGTAATTGAAGATAAAGAAACCCCACCACATGTGCCCAAGAGCCCTGTGATGGAACCAAACTTGCAGCCACCAGGCAGCTTACCTTCAAACCAGCTCTCCAAGTTCCCAACACAGATAAGCTTAGCTCAGCTCCGACTCCAGCACATGCAGCAACAGGTCATGGCTCAGAGACAGCAAGCTCAACGCAGAGCAGGTCCAGTAGTTTTACCAAATCCAAGAATGCCAGGAGCCATGCAGCAACCTCCTGCTTCCCATCAGGTAAATTATGATTATTTCCAGGGAAGAGT